CCCCAAAACCCCAAAACCCCAAAACCCCAAAACCCCGTAAAAAAATCTTAAGATTGACAGAAAGTTACCTATCCTAATCTTAACCCATTTTATTGAAGAAAATACTGTTACCTGACCCTAGCCCAAAGATTGCCCAACATAAGCTTTAGCATAAATATTTTAGTGTGAATTATGGCTGTTATCTTGGTAGTATAACTCCAATGCTCTCTTTTCACATGCTCCAACTGCCAACATTCTGAAGAATGGCTTGCAGAAATGGTATGTCAAATGAAACAATTGCATCTCAGCACTGTGAGACAGAGCTGGAATAGTACTGAACTCTTGGCCAAGGTCTCTAAGACTGCTTTCAACACACTCTTTTGCAGTGATTGCATCTGGTCCTTTATAATATCTGTTAATCTTAGTAGTTACAAAGCCAGGCATCAAGTCTTGAATATCTATTTTGTCTCCATAATTATCATGCAGATGATACGATAGCAAAGATACAAATCTTTTAGAGCCTGAATATTCTCCCACAAAAGGAATAGGGCCTGTTTGAGATAGAGATGAAATATTGATAATTCAAGATTTCTTATTTCTGCCAAGGAGCTTGGTGATCAACTTGTGGCATAGCATAGTCGGAGCTCCAATATTAATTCTTGCTCTATCCAGATGGGTTTCTAGAGACACATCTTCAAAGAAAGCAGAATCAGCAGAAGCTGCATTGTTGATTAGAATTGAAATATCTAAATCCTTGACTTCATTTATCAGTTTCTCATAAAAACTTGGAGATATAGTTTGACTCAAATCCGCAACCAAAGCCTTAGTCTTCACCTTTGTGTTAGTCTTCTTCACGTTGGCTTCCATTTCTTCGATTGCCTGTTTATTTCTCCCAGATATAATAATGTTGAACCCTTTCTGTGCTAACTGCAAGCAGTACTCTTCACCAATACCTCCGGTGGCACCTGTGACCAAAACCCATGAGCCATCTCCATATCTCTTTGACAAATCTAGGGGATTGCGTACAAAGTTCCTTATCAGGCATTTAGTAACCATTCAAATGGAATGGACAAAAGTATATATTCCCACTACCCAAGCAAACCAAATGTGGATGTCCCATGTTAAAAAGGTGAGCATCTTTATTCTATTTTAAATATTCAATGATTTGCCAATTTCATGGGGTTTTGGGGTTTTGGGGTTTTGGGGTTTTGGGGTTTTGGGG